GCACGGCTTGTACCAGCCCCCACGTGCACGACTTGTACCAGCCCCCACGTCCACGGCTTGTAGCAGCCCCACGTCCACACGTGCACGGCTTGTACCAGCCCCCACGTCCACGGCTTATAGCAGCCCCATGTCCACATGTGCACGGCTTGTACCAGCCCCCACGTGCATGACTTGTACCAGCCCCCACGTCCACGGCTTGTACCAGCCCCCACGTCCACCCTGGCACACCTGCCACGTTGGCCATCCTCAGGGCCTCCTGGTTCTTGGGTGTCTTGGAGCGGTTCTGGCTGCGCTGCTTGCCCCCTGCAGAGCGGATACTTCGCAGGTGGACCTCTGTGGCCTTGAAGAAGGCCACCATGAAGGGCTGCTTGTTCTGGGGCCCGTACCGCCCAATGAGACCCGCCAGCTTGGGGTTGATGCTCTGCCCTGGACGGAGGCAAACACAGGGAGAGGGTTAGTGAAGGCCATTCCTGGTGAGCAGACGATGACAGTGCTTGATCTCTGACTCCTCATCATGCATCGTTTCTGCACCCAGGAGTCTGCTGAGCCACCTTCTACGTCAGATGCTTTGTGAGAAGCTTGGAGCACATGTGAGAGAAAAAAATCCTATCACTGTCTGCACAGCTCCCATGTCAGCGGGCAGATGACAGCAGGACCTGCAGGTACCTAGGCATCTGGTGGCGCCCCCCCCCCCAGCTTAGACAGTGCCAGGAAGTGCAAGCTTTTTCTGGGTAGAGGAGTGGACAGTGGTCATAGTCCTACTGCCAACCCCATCTCCACGCGAGCACTGACACCTGGACCCACGGGAGGGAGCCCTGCAGGGCGCTGGGGAAAGACATTCCAGGCAGGGAACTGACGCACATGTCCGGAGGTGATCCCGCAGGTGTCCACCCAGTGGAAGTGGTGGCCAGAGCGAGCCCTGCAGGGCGCTGGGGAAAGACATTCCAGGCAGGGAACTGACGCACATGCCCAGAGTGAGACTGCAGGTGTCCACACAGTGGAAGTGGTGCCCAGGGCTGGAGCAGAGGGGACAGCGGGAACAAGACTACAGCACTGAGCCTTCACCCAATGTGAGGGGCACCCCTGGGTGTCCTGGCAGAAGAGGAGGTGCCTGGACTTGCTTTTCAAAGACCTCCTCTGGCCCAGCCCACCCCTCACACTGGATCACAGGGACGTAGTGGAGAAGGTGGGAGTCTGGGGCTGGGAGAGTGGGGGGAGTGTTTTTCCCTTAGCACCTCTTGGGAATTGCTTTCTAGAGCTTTCTGTTTGAAAATAATTCTAGATGGCTCTTCATCAGCCTCGCCGTGGTCCCAGCTCGCACAGCCTGGACAGAGGCTGGTCCTGCCTCATTCTGGATGGGGCTGGATATGCAGGGTGGGAGAAAAGGGTCCCACACAATGCCTCTGCCTTGGGGCTATGCACGAGGAGAAGCGGCAGTGCGTGCGTGGAGGTGATGGGCAGAGGGTGGCAGAGCTCAGTTCAGCGTGTGTTTGAAACCTTATGCTTCATGTCCAAGGGAGGCTGTCAGGTGGACAGCTGGGCCTCATGGACAGATCAACTGAGGAACTGACTGTCCCCAACATAGAAGGGGTGGATGCCGTGGGCCGATGTGGAGCAGGAAGGCCAACAGTACCCACCAGCTGCTCCGTGGGAGAAGGATGGGCAATCTCTTCCCGTGCTATTTGCTGCCTCTAAAAACCCTCTGGAGGGTCACCCCTGGGCTGGCTCTGACTTGACGGTACAGAACCACCGCTGTATATGAGACCAGCTCCCTGTGCAGCCGTGGGACAGGGCAGGCTGTATGAGATGAGACGTCTTCAGAACACAGGATGAGCTAAGGCATTTTAGTTGGTTATGTGAAGTGGGGCGTCCTCGGCACAGGTAGGGTGCACCCAGACAAGCCCCCTGGCCATGCATGCAAGACCTGCAAGCTTGCAGAGGAAAAAGTGAGGACTCTGGGGTCCTGGACGAGGGGAAGTGGGTGGAGGAAGTGGTCCCCATGCCCTGGGGTCTCCTGATGGACTGAACGAGACAGGGCTGAGAGAAGACCAGACATGAGGCTACCTGGGATGTGTTTATACAAAATAAAGACAGAGTGACAAAGACTGTTTCAGGCTCAGAGGTGGTCAAGGGGCCCAGATGCCCAGTGTGCAAGCGGCAAGCAGACTCTGAATGCAGATCAGGCTGACTGAGAGGGACAGATGAAGACCTCCCAGAGCAGATGCTCCTTTTAGAGAAATGGCGGCAGCAACAGTGGGGCTCCTAGAGGCCCCGGGCCCATCTCAGGCTTAACTCTCGTCCCCTGGGGGCCTCCAGTTAGGAACCCAGCCCACCACTGTGCAGAAGCGGAGGAGGAGCCCCCGGGGGAACCCTCAGGGTTATTAACAGCTAACGTTCAGGAGGACAGACCTCTATGCCCACCAGGGGCCTCACTGAATGGCTCTGACATCTGGTGTTCTGGCATTCTTGTGCAGAACTCCCCTGAGTTCACCCATTTAGAACCTGAACGGTCCTATAAGCAGAAGCATTTAGGCTGAGCCTCTAGGAATTGTGCACTCCATCCCCACCTCAAGTCCAAAGGCCTTTACAGGGTCTGCACATCTGTCCTGGAATAAGGGTGTCTGGCTCTCTGAGCTGCCCCACAGCCAGAACCAGGGATGTACCTCACTTCTCCCCACCCCAGCTGGGACCCAGATGAAGGGAGAGACGATGCCCATCAGAGCCACTGACCAGCCTTTGGGGCCTGAAATGTGGGAGGGTCGACTCTTCACCTCTGCCCCCACACCTCCTTTCTTGGTAACCCCATTTCTGTGTTTTGACATCGGCCTTCAATCAACTCCCCTCTGGTCACTGAGCAAAAGACACCGAACAGGTCATCATCTAGTTTGTTCTAATTCCTGGCAGGGCCTGTGGAAGCAGATCACCAGGCCTTTCTTCGAGTGGCCTCTGAGCCGGCGTGAATGCACTCTCCAATGGGCAGTTAAGTGCTGAACCATTTGTGACACCAGGAAGTGTGAGGGCGGTAGCAGACAGGTGAGGGTTCAGATCTGTTGTTCGCTGTGTCGCTATGAGTTGTATTCGACTCGATGGCAACTAACAACAACAGTAACAAGGTCTTCTCCGGTGTAACATGGGGCCCAGGCAGGAGCAGGACCCCACATCTGGCCCAGCCTGGGCAGAACGGCTGGCACTGCTGCCCAGGACCCCATGCCCTGCCCAGCGTGCTGCCCAGAGGGACACAGACCCAGGCAGAGGCAAGACTGTACGGCCAGCCCAGGGCGTTGGCACAGAGCACAAACAAGGCATCAGAAGGGAGGGGACATGCTGGACCACAGGGGGCGGCCGCCTTGTTTTCTTGTGGCTTCTTTGATTTCCAGGCCTGAGGCTGTCGGCTGCCCCTCAGAGGCCCAGGGCACTCAACTGTAACTTGTTAATTGTGGGAACGAGTCATCCAGCCTCTGCCCTAGACACTCTTAAGGCCGGGGCATCAAGTGACAATGCAATCACCGCTAGGCCCCACATCTGCTGGCCCAAGCACACGGTTTCATCTCTGCCACTGATGGACACCCAGCCCCAGGAGGACCAGCCCAGCCTCTGGGAGGTCACAGTCTCTCCACTGCTCCCCAGACAGGCTTCCGCACACACAGGACGGGGAGCAGCCACAGGGCTAGGCACCCCAGAGCATCTGTGCTGTGAACGGGGCTCCCCAGTGTCCACAGCCATCGGCCAGCAGCCCAGGGACCACGGTGAACATCACCTTGCTGGACACAAGCTTTGTGTCATGGATTGAATTGGGTCCCCCCAAAATATCTCAACTTGGCTGGCCATGATTTGCGGTATTATGTTTACCCTATCATTGTAAATCCCAACCTCTGTGATGCAGATACCTGGGACACTCTGGTGCCCTTAGCGGTCAGGAGTTGCCATGCAACATGATTTGAATCGACCAGCTGCTCCACAGGAGAAAGACGGGAAATCTCCTCCTATGGAACTTACAGCCTCACTGAAGGGTCACTGAAAACTCGCTGGAGGATCAGCTATGAGTCTGTTCCGATGGCACATAAAACACTGATGCTAAGGAGGCCAGAACTGAGGCAGTTATGAGATGATGTAATCACCTCTCATGATGTAATCTGTCAGCGAGCTCAGGAGATGCTGGCGAGATGCAGCGCCCTCAGTCAGATCCAGCCCTGACTGGATGTGAGGGGAGTCTCCCCAGAGGGTGGTCTGCATCACCTGTCACCTTATAAGAGACAAGGTGGGAGAGAAGTGCAGAGAAAGGACCTCTGCCACCAGGAAATAGAAATGGTGTCACTATGCGGCGGCTGTTGTCAGATGCCATCGGGTTGACTACTCCTCCTAGCAACGCTGAGAACAGCAGATCAAAGTCCTGAGAGGAGTCCAGAGTGGAGCCTGCACAGCGCAGTGGACTTGGGGAGAGGGACTGCAGAACAATGAAAGAGTTTTACTTTTCACAGAGAAGAGTGAATTGTGGGGGAAGAGGTGGGCAGCGAGAAAAGTGCAACAATGAATGGATGGAAACCCTAAGTCTCTGTAAACTTTCATTAAAATGAATAAAAAACACCAAAAACAACTTTCTCCTGTCCTGCACCATCCTCACCTCTCTGCCAAGTTCAAAGCCATCCCCCCGAGGGGGGGGTGTCCTTCCCCAGGGACTGGCTCCCTTTGGGACCTGAATGAAGCTCATGGATGAAGTGTGTATCAGATCCTTGTTTCTAAGGAACACTCTGGATGCATTTCTTCCAAAAGGGCTAAGAAGGATAATCTCTAAGCCTAGGGTACCACCCCCCCTCCAGGAGGGCAGGCAGAACAGAAAAGTATGATCAAGGGGAGCTCTGGTGGCCTAGTGGTAAGGAGCTGCAACTACAATCCCAGAGGCACACGGTTCGAAGCCACCAGATGCTCTGCCGGGGAAGGAGGGACAATCTCCTCCTGTACCGGTCAGATCTGATTTGACGGTACACACACACAAAAATA